TTGTTATTTTAGAAATTACAAAAGGAAATGTAATAAAAGATATAAGACGAGTTTCAACTTAACTTTAGGGTAAAAACCATGTAGTAATCAATAAGAATTAAGAAAATCAAAATTTTATATTATTTATAGCATCATAAGATATAAGATGTGGGCTGCAACAAAAGCCACAATAGTTTAAGCTAATGTTTCAACTAAATACATAGGTGTGTCATACAAATTTTAAGGAAAAAAACTATGGATATAGATGAAAAACATACAGATTACTAATGATATGTTTGTCACAACTAGATAGAGATAACATAGTATCTTTTGTGTCTATTATATTAGAAAATGAACAAAGTGAAAAACATGTAATTATTATAAATTTTTATTAGTCAGAGTCATTAAAGAATAACTAATGCTTATGTTATCTAAGATTATGCTCCGTGCGAGAGCATGGGTTGATGGACTAGTGTTGTTATAATTGGTTGTGATTACTATTTGAATTTGAATATGATCGGCAGGTTTAACAGTAATATGATGGGAAATATTTTAATTTTTAAAATATTTTGTATGGGCGGTTTATGGTAATAAGCCCTTGTTTAGTTCGTGAAATTTGGATTTTGGGGCTACTGTAGCACCTTCGTTTTTATTTGGCAAATAGTGTTCAAACATGGACTAATTAGGCTCAAAACGTTCGTCTCGCAATTTCCCACCAAACTGTGTAATTAGTTTTTCTTTTCGTCTACATTTAATGCTCCATGCACAGGCCGTAAATATTCGATGTGACAGGTACTGTAACAACTTTTTGAAAGTTGGGGTGGAACTAAACAAGGCGTAAGTCGTCTCTAGAAATTAATTAATAGAGGCACCAACGTTACATAAACTGTCAATGTAAAATGTTTACGCAGGCTGTTGGCTTATGCTTTGCTGTCAGTGTAGATCCATTTACGATACTTGCGACAATCTTAAACTAACATCTTGTGTAAATAGATTTTTATATATACGATTTTCAAGCTGACACCAATGAAAAACGGCTGTATTTTCACTGCTGACAGTTCTGAAAACCGACCATGGAACGGCTGTATTTTCACTGCTGATGGTTCTGAAAAGGTGTCAGCTTAGGTCTAGATAAACCTATTCACAAGAGGTTAGCTTAAAAAAGTGGCGCCAGTTGAAACTTTTGGTGTACTAGTGCAATCTGGATTACCATATCCGCCGCCACCGTACCAGATATGCTAGTATTATACGAGACACGACCGTAGCAGCAGCAGAGTTAGCGCTGCACGTACACTGGCCGCAATTTATATTTGGCGCTCCCGGCTTCCGCCGGTCCGGCGTCAGTGCTCCACGGCCCTCGCCATGCGATCACTAAGCTCGCGCCGTGGGTACAGTACAGTGCAGTTCGACGTACAGTATCATGTACCGACGTATACGTACATTAGTACATACCGTCTCCATCCACAAAATAACGTACTTCTCGTTTTTTGAGAAGTCACGCAGAATAGTCATGGTACAAAACACTCTAAAATTTACTCCTTTTGAAATAAATATAAATTAATTTAATTTTGTATTTTGTTCTCATGAAAACATAGGAAAAATAATTTTTTTTATTAAATTAAAATTCATCATAGGATGTAGCAATATTATCATGCTGGTGCATTTGTTTCTTTGTACTGTGTGGTTTTGAACTAAAGTTAAACCGATTCGAACTTCAATATGAAAATGACTTTGAAAATTTCGAAGGAAAAAAAAGGAGTTTCCTCCTCTCCCTCTCTGTAGGCCTACCAGTAACACACACACCCTCTCTCTCACAGACGAGGCCTAGCCTCTAACCCGTGGCCCAGCGCGACCCTTCTCCCTTTCTCGGGCCTGGTGACCATGGGCTAACCCAGACGAAATGCAAGCCGTGCGGGCGCTTCTCTCTCCGTCTCTGTTTCACTGATAGCCCGGCCCCATCGTCCCTATGTCGCTGACGAGCCGGTCCCACGCATCAGCGTCGTCACCCACCTCCGTCGTCCCCAATTGGAACACTGTCCGAGTCGGTTGCCGCCGCCGAGCCCGATTCTATGGGATTTTTGGCGTGCGCGCCAAGCCGAAACCCCTATAAATCGAAGCCCCGTTGCGTGCCACCACCCCACCAAACCCTAGCGCAAGCCGCCTCCTCTACTCGAGCTCGCAGCACCATGCCCCAAACCCTAATCCGCCGCCACCTTCGATCTCCACCACGACAGCCTCTCTGCTGACGGAGCTTCACGTCAGGGTAAGAAAGCGTTGATACCATGCTTTTCCTCTCACTATCTCTCTGTTGCCTCTATGAGCTCACCAGAGCAAGACCGGCACAATCGAGCCGACAATCAGAGCCCCGAGCAGCCACCGCGCCTTCGCCGCTAACCTCGACCCTCTCTTTGCGTTCATCGTGCCCAGCGCTTGCTCTCTGTGCAAATCCCGTGGCCAATGATGGACGGAATCGCCATTCCGGAGAGATTCCGGCGAGGTCTCGAGTTTTCCAACCATGGCGCCGTCGTCGGGTTCCCTGTCACGCCGACGCCCTCCCTTGTTTCTCTACCATCGGAATTTAGATCAACGGCCCAGATCTGTTGTTGACCGGAGTCAACCCGGTTAATACCAATCAACAGAGACACTTTTGCAAAAGAACCCTCCTATTTTCTGGTTTTCTAACCCGCAGTCCTCCAGCCAGATTCAAAATATTGTTTTTATTTATTTTAATTCAAAATTCAGATCCCGATATTTATAGAACTGCCACTGATATTGTTTTATGCATAAATCTCCCTTTTAGCTCCGTTTGGACCCGTTCAGGTTACGTTAGATTCATAACGACGTAATCTATACGTTAGTAACAATGTTTACCATGCCACTATCTCTAGAATTTTATGGTTTAAATCCTAACTTGAATAATGGTTGCGCAACATGGTTTATAAATAAAACATGATTAATTTTACTTTAGTTTTCTAATTCAAATATAAATTTGACTTAATTCAATTTAGGTATTTCTCTAAAATATCTTATCCATGCTTTTATATAGTTAAAATAAATGAAGCCTATAGCTTTCTTTTTCAAAGTAAATCCTTCGGTAGTTGCTTCTTATTTACTATAGCTCCGATTAGCGCGTTTTTCGTGTCTACGTGTTCGTAGCAATGCGTAGATTAGTTTCAAACCTTTTCACTGCTTGATGTATTGTTCTAATATAGTTATATTTGTATGTTATGCATGTTTATGTTTGGTTTCTTGTGTGGTGCTTTATGATCATGTCCAGTCGGTGAATTTTATGTGGTAATAAAGAAGCAATCCTTTGGAGGTTACGAATCAGAATAAGATAAGAGTTTAAGGTAAATATAGCACGGGACTATCCTTGTTTTCATAATAACCCTGAATGCAATTTAATTCATGTGCGTGTGTCTACCCTGTTACCCCCTAAGGATATCCTTGCTGATGTTAACTTTATACCCGGGTTATATACATTTGGTAGTATTTGTGCTATTGCTCAATTAAATAACCATGATCGTAACTTGACATATGGTATATGCAATAAATATTAAAATATACTATTAAGTAACATCGACAGGAGGGTGCTGGAGTATTTGGCTACTTTCCAAATGCTTTAGTTTCTCTCCCTAAGGACTTATCTGTAAGTGACAACCCGCGACTTACAGTACAACCACAAGCTATATGGCTCTAGCTTCACTCAGTATCAGACTTCTATTAGTTTGTGTCAGCTTACCGAAAGGCTCAAGAGGGGCTCCGATTGGTTTGATCTCGGCCTGCCAAGGGGGTGCACTTTGATTTCTTTGTCTTTTTGTTAGTCACACCTTGTAGGAGGAATCTTACTAGTTGATGGAAAAACCTTAGCGGGTCGCTACCTATTAGTGGAACCTTTGACCAGTCTCGTAGTGTACCCTACGCACTCCCTTGGAAGAGGTGATGGAATATGGGAATCACGACTTGTGGGTAACCATGTACAACCTCTACAGAGTGTAAAATTGTTATAACAGTCGTGCGCACGGTCACGAGCGGCTTTGGGATCCTTATGGAATAGAAGAACACCTGTGATTAATATGTTTATGCTATATATTATTTCTGGTACATGATCATGTGGTTATTTGAGGCTTAAACTTGTTGCTACTCTATTGCTAAAATTTGAATCACTAAAATGCTAATCCACGTATAGAACTCGGGAAAGTCTCGGTACAGTATACGTCGGGCTCTTTCACCTATCATGTTTTTCTCAAAGTATACTTTAAGCATTGACTTTTCAACACTTGGACGATTAAGTACTCGTCGAACCCCCTCGCGCCGGTGAAATGACACCATGTGCATGTCTGGAAGATGCAGCTATAAGGACAAAACAGTAGGGTAGTTATCACTCAAATCAAAACCATATATTCTCTACGAGGCTTCTGGAGGGTTACCCATGGCTTCTCCCATCTAGTATCTTTCATTGACGTTTCCTTCACTGTCCTTGTCCGCCTCTCTCACAGCCGCATATGCCCGGTTATCACCCTTGTAGATGCACTTAAACAAATTCGGCACATATATAAGAAAACCTCGGGAGATCGAAAATTAACATCTGGTTATACAGTATGTATTTGATCGTCACAACATATCCCGACAGCCACAATCGACCGAATCTCACGTACAGGTATAGTCCCTTCCTTCATTCCTTGCTATTGACTAGTGAGGCAAGACGACAGGCTCAATTACTTCTCCAGCCAGATCGAGCCAGTACTGCTCCCCTGCATTCCCTGCTGCGTTTCTTGGGGACACATATAGGCGCCAGAAGGTCGAGCTACAGGTCTACAGCCAGGAGAAACAGGCCAGCGCCGTAAAAGTCTGTAGACAACGACGACAGGGAATAATCTTCATGTTTCGTTTGGACTTGTTTGGCTTATAAGTCATACTTTTTAGCCAACAAATATTATTGTTCTCTCACACCAAATTAGATAACATTACTTCCAGTTATGGCTTTTCAGCCAAATAAGCCCAAACGAACAGGGGGAGAGATGCGTAGTGGCGGCTGCGCGGTGCAGCAGGAGCTGGCGGGGGACGCGGTGGCCGTGATGCGGCAAGCGGTGAGCCCGGCGCTGCGCTGGGGACACGCGCAGGTTACGCCGCTGGCGACGGGGTCCACTCCGCGCAGCCTGCCTCCGGTCGTGGGCGGGCTCCCACCCGCTCCAGTGCAAGGCGTTGGAGCTCTGCTTCAACGTCGCGCTCAACCGCCTCGCGATGGCGGGGGCCTGGCCCCGCCGGCCATGTTGCAGTTCCACGCTCACCACGCGGGGCACCGCTCGCCGGCGCTGTCCAACGCGCTCGCCGCCGCGTTCAAGCGCGCGCTGGCGAACCAGCGCCGGGGCGGTTCGGCCTCTGCCACGGAGGGCCAGCGGCACATCGCTGCCAAGGTCGAGCTTGAGCAACTCGTTATCTCCATCGTCGACGAGCCCAGCGTCGGCCACGTCATGCGCGAAGCCGGCTTCTCGAGCGCGAAGGTAATGGCCAACGTTGAGAAGGCCATCTTGTCGTCGGAGCAGTCGTCAAACATGGCAAGTAGTAGCACCACTTCCCCGAATACTAGGGCCCATACAAATAACGCCAAGGAGTCCAAAGCCAGCGCCGTGCGCGTGCTCGACTGCATGGCCGTGGCGAGTGGGACGAACCGGTGCGTGGTGGTCCTCGGCGAGAGCGCCGCCGCCGCAAAGTGGGTGATCAAGGCGGTGATGGGCAAGGTGAGCAAGGGGTGTTAGTATGATCTCTAACCTAACTAGACCCAATGGCCCAATTGGGCCTTTGATTCGCGCCCTGATCGGGGGCGCCCAGCCCACCATGGCTGGAGGGCCCCTGTCACCCTGCGCTATAAAAAGAGGTGGGGGCCGGCGGCTCTTATCACGAGGTTGACCTGAGCCGACCTCCCCACCGACACTCAAACCCTAATCCGATCAAGAGGGGCGCAGCCAGTGACGGGAAGCCACCAGTCACGCCGCCCCGCTCCGACGACGGCAACTACACCGACATCTTCCCCGACCATCGTTGCCCGTGCGCAGACTACATCGACGAACCTGATGGAGGCCACTAGATCTTCCACCCCTGCGGTCTCAGGTTCGGTACCTTTCCCCCTCTCTCCCTGTCTTTTTCTAGACCGTTCTACATGTATTAGGATCTACCGTTTCACCTTTTATATCGAATAGAACAGTCAAAGGCTAGATCTAAGATCCTACAGTTACAACATTGGTACTAGAGCCAGGTTTTAAGTATAGATCTGGCTTAAGAAAAAGAAATCCAGTGCGGATCTAGAAAGTAGAAAGGGGCTTCGGCCGACAAAGGGTTCGGTTGAACCCTAACTTTGATCCCTTCGGATCTGAGAAAAGATGATGGTTCGGATGAACCCTAACCCTAACTGGGTTAAGCAAATCAGAAAAGAAATGGGTTCGGATGAACCCTAACCCTAATTGGGTTAAAGAAGAAGCAGGGCTCGTTTTTCATGCAAAGATCGAACCCTCAAACCCGAAAACAATTTGGGAAAAAGATAAACAGTGAAACCCCATCCCCAAACCCTAACCCTAATCGGGAAATCGGATGAAATCCGAGCACAAGAACCAAAGAAACCAAAAGGGAAGAGGGAAGGGTTGGCTTACCGCCGTGTCGTACGCGCCATGAGGAAAAAAAAAAGACCGGCCGGGGGCACTGCTCGCCGGGATCCGACCACAGGGGCGCCGCGGCTAGGCCACTCGACGGCGGCGTGCTCACCCGCTGGGGAACGCGCACGCCAGCGAGGGGGCCGGCGATGGCGCCGGGGCTTGCTGCTCGCTCTCGCCGTCCATTGCTTGTCGCTCGGTGCTGCGGTACTGAGGAGAGAAGAGAGAGAAGTGAGGCGAAGAGAGAGAGAGAGAGAGAGCGAATGAGAATGGTGCTAGGGTTTTGCTCGGGGGCGCGCCGTGTCTGCCTTTTATCCGAGCGAGATACGCGCGCAGCCATCGGATCAGGATGGATGGCCGAGATCGTATGGGCCAAGTCGCGGCCGAGGCGGGCGAGCGGGCGCGTGGGACTTTGCTGGCCCATGCCCAGGTTGCGGCCTGGGTGTGGCCTATGTGCGCGCGAAGAGATGGGCTGAGCCGTTTTCTGCGGTATTGGGCCAAAACAGAAAAGTTTGAGTCCGTTTTTTGCATTTTTCTTTTTCCAGAAAATTGAAAGATGAAAATTGGCTCAAAAGAAAATAGTAAAAGTATTTTTCCCTGTGGGTAAAATTCATCAAATTGAATGATTTTCCGCTGCATATTTAAAGATGTAATTTTTATTATTAAATTCGAACCAACGGGAGAATTTAATTTTGAAAATGGATATGTTTTAAATTGATTATAATATTGTTGTCATTCTGACCAACGTTGATTAATGGCAATATTATGATGTTTTGTCCTGCATCAATTCTATTTTCTGCCCAACGGTGATATAGAATTAATGTAGAGAACAATTGTATGTTTTAATTTTGATCAACGTTGAACTAAGACATGCAATTGTTACTGTTATTATTTATGTTCTCACACTATTTGAATTGTGTTTTCAGGAGGATACAACTTGATGAGTTGTATCAAAGAGATCCCCACTCTAAAAGGGGATAGCTACATTGAATGGAAGAAAAAGATCGACTTGGCCTTCATATTGGCTGAGGTGGACTGGATAGTCACCACACCGTGTCCCAAAGAACCTGTGGCACCAGTAAGGGAGACTGATGGGACTGATGCTGCATGGCAGAATAGAGAGCGGGACTTTGCTCCCGTAAAGATGTCTTTTGACCTTGAACATAGAAAGTGGGTCACAACCAATAAGAAATGTTTGGCTGTGATAAAGAATACAATTGAGTCTACAATAGTGGGCTCAATTTCAGACTGTGACATGGTCACAGAGTACCTAGAAAGAATAAAGAGTCGGTTCACTGGCTCTTCAAAGATATATGCAACCCAGCTGATCAAGCAGCTGGTGACACAAAGGTACTCTGGTGGCGGCAGTGGCATTAGAGAGCACATACTGAGAATGAGCAACTTGGCATCTAAGCTCAAACCAATGGATTTGGCTCTCAAGGATGAGTTTCTTATTCATTTGATTTTTGCTTCTTTGTCACTACATCATCCACAATGTATGTCGAGTTTGTAGCGTGTTATGAGGCAACGGGGCAGGTGAACTGGCTAAAGAAGTTCATACCCGGTTTGAAGGTGGTTGACGACATCTATAGACCACTAAAGTTATACTACGATAATAATCCGGCAGTACGGTATGCTCACAACAATAAGTCAAGTGGTGCTGCCAAACACATTGACATTAAGTATTATGTTGTGAAAGATAAAGTCCAGGATCAAGTCATAAATCTTGAGCATATAAGAACAGAAAGGATGCTCGCGGATCCGCTTACAAAAGGCTTACCACCCAACGTGTTCAGAGAACATGTAGCCGGCATGGGTTTAAGGGAAAGCCTATAATTCCTGGACAAAAGAAGGCCCAAAGATAAGTATCTATTTCAGAACAGAGTAGTGTGTTGTAGCTGTTAAATCTATCGGCAATGGACCATGATGATGAGACATGCTCTATGCGCTAATCTATAATGGAATGAACAAAAGTAAATGATATGAAAGTGAAAGATGGAAAGACATCAAGGAGGAGATTGTTAGTATGATCTCTAACCTAACTGGACCCAACGGCCCAGTTGGGCCTTTGATTCACGCCCTGATTGGGGGCGCCCAGCCCACCATGGCTGGAGGGCCCCTGTCACCCTACGCTATAAAAAGAGGTGAGGGCCGGTGGCTCTTATCACGAGGTTGACCTGAGCCGACCTCCCCACCGACACTCAAACCCTAATCCGATCAAGAGGGGCGTAGACTGCATCGACGAACCTGATGGAGGCCACTGGATCTTCCATCCCTATGGTCTTAGGTTCGGTACCTTTCCCCCTCTCTCCCTGTCTCTCTCTAGACCGTTCTACATGTATTAGGATCTACCGTTTCACCTTTTATATCGAATAGAATAGTCAAAGGCTAGATCTAAGATCCTACAGTTACAACAAGGGGGAACTGCGGCGCCAGCACGAGCACCTCAAGAATGCCCAGTTCGTGCCTTTCTCGGCTGCATCCTTCCAGCACATGCCGAGGGAGGAGGTTGAGGCCTGGGCCGGCGATCTATCTTGTGGTCTGCTTGTGAGTGCTACGTCGCCAGCAGAGGTGTGGTGCTCGTGCTTGAGGACCTCTCGCACATAGGTGAGGCACGGGCCATCGACACTGGAAGAGAAGTGATGACCACCACGCGCGCATGGCCGTGGCCTCTACTCACCGCCCCGCCTAGCACGCGATCATGGAGTTGAGCAAAGATCGCGCGATGCGCGATCGCGGAGGTGAGACAAAGACAAGGACATGTTCGCTAGTGGCTCTTGGGGTTGAGCCCACGCATCCTATACGAGCTGCCGGTCGGGCTACCTTCCACGGAGACCGTCTTGGAACTACACCCCATCGTCGTCTTGGGATGGCGCCTCCCGTTGAGCCTCGCCATGGCGGCAGTACATCCTTGATCATCCTTCTTCGTTTGTGTCCGATGCATACGTCATCACTCATCAACGTGTGGCGTTCTTGATTTGTTGTTTTCGGTGAGATCACACACACGGACGCGGCAATGAGCATCCCCCATGGATTCACCGTTGCCAAGGTAGTCCGATCCTCACTAGATCGGAGCTCACACCGAGCTTCTCCTCTCCGCCTCTTCCTCCCAATGTGGCTTCACCGGCAAGAGCTCCGATCCATGGCATGATCTCATTGACCGCGGCGGCAAGCGTTCTTTGAACCGCCCGCACGATGGTCGAATGGCCAAGTCATACGATCGGTTGTCGCTCGCAAACCCTAATTCAGGATACTCTAACTCGGTGTCTAGATCTAACCTATCGGATGGCGCGATGGTTCGCCGCCAACCAAAGTTCACCGAGCTCACCGCGGAGAATCTCAATATCCTGTGCACCGCACCGGAGGCTTGGCGTCCGTGCCATAGAGACATAGCTCCGGGCATTGCCAGCACCGTGCTCTAGCGCTGCTCCGGCGTGACGAGGACGACACGACCGACCTCGACGACATGACTCCTATTCCAAGGGAAAGACAACGATGGCAAGATGGCCATGGCTCGGGAGCTCGCCAGGCTTGTCTTTGGCTCCTACGCTGAGTTCACCTGCATCGCCATAGCACCATCAAAGCTCACCCCGGATCACCATAGCCTCAAGAGGCAGAGGTCACCAGACAACAAGCACGCGGCGGTGCATGCGAGATGTTCTACGAGGCGATCCACGAGAACCCTCACTGTGTCGTGCTGGTCGATGGCGTCAAGCACAACTCGGAACTAGAAGCCAGCATCATGAATGCCATGGCAAGCGGAACTGTGAGGGGTGGCGATGGTGGTGTGGTCAGCTTGGAGGACTCCATCGTATTGTGCTGTGAGGTGTTGGAGTCGAGGTCGCCTAAGGTTTCCTCGCATTGGCATGCGAAAAAAAGGATTATGAGTGAGGTCGACAGCAAGGTGGAAGACGATGGCGCAGAGAAAGGAGTAGTTGTGCCACGTTTGAGCTTGGATTTGAATGTCTACGCCATTGACTGTCTGCGCCATTGACATTGTTGACGGTAGATAACAAACATTATAAATTGTTAATATAACTTGTATAAGGGAATGAATATAATTACCAACATAGGTTTAGAGGTTTAAACTAACAAATTCAACGAGTTTTGGAAAATATGTATTTTCTGCAGGGTTTATCCAGAAAACCGTCAAGGTAGACCTAGATGTTAGAATTAATCGTGCTTAATCCTCGCATAAACAACTCTAGAAGGTTTCATATGACACCACACCATAGCGGAGGGCGAGGGGCCACCACCTACAGGCTGGCCGGTCTAGGGCCCCACCTGTTAGCCTCCGTCTCGTTATGTCAGTTCTCCACCACCTCATAGATTGCATCTACGCTATTTATTCAAGTCGGTTTGATCCGAGGGCACAGGATTGACGCTCCCGTCTATATATACCAGCCCTTGCCACCCCAAGGAGAGTCCTCAGTCATCAAGTCATTTGAGAAGACAGCACCCTAATCATCCTCAGAGCTCCACCATATTTGAGGGCATAGTTAGCTAGGCTAGGTCTAGAGGGAGGCAAGCTTCGCTTGGATTCCTGATTATGTCAAGAGCGTGGCTTGTATAGCATTTGTACCCCCTCTCTTTTGTATCTCTCATTACTTTTATATGTTTGCTACAATTGTTATGACATTGTTCTTCGTATTAATCATGTTCCTAGTTATAATGTTCATCGTCTACTTTGATTATATGCTTAGTATAGTTAGATTATCAACATGTTCATGCATAAGTTCGTATAGCGCTCACTCTTTTGATCCAGGGGTGAGTGGTCGACATTGTGTAAGCGTGGTGCTTATACGTTGTTTACCTGTAGATACACCCTATATTCTAGGTCATGTGTTAGATCGTGGATGTGACACTCCCGTTGAGTCCTTTGTAGTCCACTCCCCGAGTATAGGACAAGTAGGATCTAGTTACGAAGAAAGACAAGCTCTGTTCTTAATCTTCCTTAGTAATATCCCTTATGTGTAGATATGAAGTTGATCTTAACCATGATTACTAAGTGTAATTGCACTAATTAACGTATGCTTTGACTTGTAATTAAGAATGACTTAGGAATTATTCCTCTAATATTCTACTTAGCCATGCTAATGCCATAGGAAGGAGTACGCTGAGTGATCAATGATTAGTTATTACCTATCATTCATATGCATTTATCTCTTGACTTACCCCTGTTGTGAGTAGAAGTTTAGTTATGTTTTATTTCTCCATCATGTGTATAAGTTATCAATATATTCCAATTGCCTGCCCTTCCCTATGGTAAAAATATAAATAACGATACCTAGAATACTTCTGGGTGAAGTGCTACGATGGTATAATTATCTGTGCGCTTGCATATTCCTTTCAATTATGTATATTCTTTCTAGTCACATGAAATACTAAAGTACTTCTTAGTGTCATTCTAGAGGTGGCACTAGGTAGTACCAATAAGCATTTCTGGCACCATCGCTAGGAACAACAACTTAGTAAAAGTGATGCTAAGAAAAATCAATAATCGTTAGGTGACTACTTAAACAAGTGATAAGTTAATAAATACCAACAGACATCCAAGGGGAGGAAGGGAGTTCTTCGCATAATGACATGGAGATCCTTAATGCTGCGGATGGCGTTTTCTTCTTCTAGTATTAACCTATGGCGTGACCTTAGTGTATTTGTTAAAGTAGCCGACGGTGATTAGAGTTGTGGTCGGTAGCATGTAGTGCTTGATGTGTTTTGTTAACTTTGCTGTTTTCTTTTGTAGGTAATCTTCTAGGGTTATCTGCTTTATTTTTTCCATCTTACCAGTAGAAACATGCTGTTAGGTTCGTTAAAAAAATTAACTGCGAAATTCATCTCAATAATATTCTTCATGTTCCAAAGCTAGCAAAATTTTGATCTCTGTTAATCGTCTAGCTCGTGACAATAATGCCTTTCTTCAATTTCATCCTAATCCTTTTTCCATTAAGGAACAGGGGACAAAGAGGATTCTTCTTAGTGGCAGATGTGAAGGAGGACTCTACCCCCTGAGGTCGCTACCAAATAAACAAGTGCTCAACGTCGTTAAGCCATCTACGTCCTTGTGGCATTCTAGAATAAGGCATGCTTCCACTCCTGTAGCCCAGCAAGTTCTAAGTCACCACAAGCATCCTTTTGTTAGACTAGGGCATGCTTCACCAACGTGTGCCGTTTGTGATGCATGTCAAAAGGGCAAGAACCATTGGTCGCCCTACCCTCGATCCACTAGTGTGTCTACTAGTTCTACCGATCTTATTTTTTCAGATGTATGGGGTCCTGCTCCAACTTCGATTGGGCGCAATAATTATTATGTCAGTTTCATTGATGATCATAGCAAGTCTACTTGGATATATCTTTTGTGACATAAATCTGAAGTTTTTTCAATGCTTTTGTGATTTTCAAAACCTAGTAGAATGACAATTTGATCGCAAAATTTTAGCCATCCAAACTAACTGGGGAGGAGAGTATCAATCCTTGAACTCCTTCAAACGCATAGGAATCAATCATCACGTCTCCTGTCCCATGCACATCAACAAAATGGCTCGAGTGAATGCAAACATAGACACATCATTGAAGTAGGGCTATCCCATCTTGCTCATGCCTCCATGCCACTCAAATTCTAGGATGAAGCCTTCCTCACAGCCGTCTTCCTCATAAATCGTCTCTCATCCAGAGTCATCAATAATGAAACCCCTCTTGAATGGTTCGTTGAACACAAACCCGACTACACTTTTCTTAGAACCTATGGTTCTACCTGCTGGCCGAATCATCGACCCTACAATTCCAGAAAACTTCAAATTTCGTTCCCAGAGGTGTGTGTTTCTTGGATATAGCAATTCCCACAAAGGGTTTAAGTGTCTATATCCTTTAGAAGGGTGTGTTTATACCTCTCAGAGCTCCACCATATTTTAGGGCATAGCTAGCTAGGTTAGGTCTAGAGGGAGGCAAGCTTTGCTTGGATTCCTGATTGTATCAAGAGCGTGTCTTGGTATAGCATTTGTACCCCCTCTCTTTTGTATCTCTCATTACTTTTATATGTTTGCTACAATTGTTATGACATTGTTCTTCGTATTAATCATGTTCCTAGTTTTAATGTTCATCATCTACTTTGATTATATGCTTAGTATAGTTAGATTATCAACATGTTCATGCATAAGTTCGTATAGCGCTCACTCTTTTGATCCAGGGGTGAGTGGTCGACATTGTGTAAGCGTGGTGCTTATACGTTGTTTACCAGCGGATACACCCTATATTATGGGTCATGTGGTATATCGTGGATGTGACACTCCCATTGAATTCTTTGTAGTCCACACCCCGAAATAGGACAAGTAGGATCTAGTTTTGAAGGAAGACTAGCTATGTTCTTAATCTTCCTTAGTAATATCCCTTATGTGTACATATGAAGTTGATCTTAACCATGATTACTAAGTGTAATTGCACTAATCAACGTATGCTTTGACTTGTAATTAAGAATGACTTAGGAATTATTCCTCTAATATTCTACTTAGCCATGCTAATGCCATAGAATGGAGTACTATGAGTGATCAATGATTTGTTATTACCTATCATTCATATATATTTATCTCTTGACTTACCCCTGTTGTGAGTAGAATTTTTGTTATGGTTTATTTATCCATCATGTGTATAAGTTATCAATATATTTCAATTACCTGTCCTTCCCTATGGTAAAAATATAAATAACGATACCTAGAATACTTCCGGGTGAAGTGCTACAATGGTATAATTATCTGTGCGCTTGCAGATTCCTTTTAATTATGTATATTCTTTCTAGTCACATGAAATACTAAAGTACTTCTTAATGTCATTCTAGAGGTGGCACTAGGTAGTACCAATAAGCATTTCTAGCACCATCGCTAGGGATGACAACTTAGTAAAAGTGATGTTAAGAAATGTCAACAATCGTTAGGTGACTACTTAAACAAGTGACAAGTTAATAAATACCAACAAGCATTTCTAACGCCGTTGCTGGGGAAGGTATCTAGGCAAGAAGAAAATATTGATAAACTTATACTTATTGATGTGATCGAGATAACCATTGACCCCTCCTCAAGCTGGATTACCCTTGTTCTATCTACTTTTGTATCTTATGCAGGGTAATGTATGACTGGTTTTGACCTTTCGAAAAACTACGTTGAAGATCCAGAAGTATTAATCAGGAGAACTAGAGCCAAACTCAAGAAAGTCTCAGCTTTAGAATCAGAAGACGACCAAACCAGGTGGAGCTTAACACCAGTTTTTGAAGCCGTGGCTGACAAGACTCTCTGTGAGTTCTCTGCTCCAATTATGGCCAATATCCGTACTGGGCCAACAATCAATGTGGGAGACAATGGATTTGAGCTCAAGCCAGCTCTCGTCAACATGGTGCAAGCCAGCCAATTTTGTGAAAAGGCACATGAAGATGCGAGTGCTCATCTCCAACACTTCCTAGAGATCTATAGCACTTTCACCATCAAGGGAGTATCCAAAGATGCCATACTACTTTGCATCTTCCCATTCTCACTCTTGGGGAAGGCGAAGCAATGGTTCTATGCTAACAAAGATAGAAACACTACATGGGATAACCGCTCCACTGCCTTTCTAGCCAAGTTTTTTCCCACAGGCAAGACTAATGCTCTATGTGGAAGAATTTCAAGCTTTCAACAGCAATATGATGAATTTGTCCCTGAGGCATGGGAACACTTTTAAGATTATATATCAGAATGTCCTCATCAAGGGATGGAGAATTGGCTACTCATGTAGACTTTCTACCATAGGTTGACCAACAGTACCCGTGAGACCATCGATGCTGCTGCTAGAGGTGCTTTCCTGTCACTCACAGTCCTAGGTGCAACAACCCTCATAGAGAAGATGGCTTCCAACCAAGGTTGGAATGAAGAACATTTTCGGACCCGCGAGAGAGGTGGAGGTATGCATCAACTCAAGGAGGTAGACATGTTGTCTGCCAAGATGGACCTGCTCATAAAGAAGCTTGAA